AAGCGAAAATGGGGAAAATGTCAAAGCTACAAAGTACAATTAGGACTTTGGACCGGACTAATACTGCAGCACCGCTCTATCTTAATCCCTTTATCACAACGAGAGTGGTGGCGGGTGCAAAGGGCAAGATAGACAAACTGCTGTAGGAATGAGTACAGGATCCAAAATACACTTCTTAGACCAAGTTCCGTTTCTAATGGCATCAACATACAGGATTTGGTGTGCCTCGTGATGTCATCGACAAAGTGAAATCGGAAAATTTGGCTGAAATCACCGATGAGAAAAAGATCGAACTTCTCAAGGGATCGACATGGCTACAGTCCGGTACTAACAAATTCGCCTCACAGAAGGGACAAACCGGTCAGAATACCGCTATTTTTGAAATAATTTTAGCTATTTCTCAATTTCACAGGATTCGGTTCTCCTCGTGATGTCAACTACAAAACAAAGGGAACCGGTGGAGCAGCGGATGTACCGGAGGAGAAGGTGAGGCAAAAGCTTTCGGCTTCTGGAGAATGGACGCTTTATTTTCCAAATGCAATTCTAACTATAATAACATTGGATATTACACAAATTCAGGCCCGTGCCTCCGATGGCATCGTTCCCCTACAATCTGGAACCAACAAACTCGCCTCCCAAGCTGGTATGACCGGTATTGGTATGCCCCGTATTGTCGATGGTGAGTTCTTTTAGCAAGGAACATGGCACCCAGGTGAGACAATCAATTAATTTTTCCAGTACGCAAGGCTGAGGACCAAGACCGTGAATCACAAGGATTCATCCATCTTCAGATGGGTACCAACCGATTCGCCAACCAGTCTGGTATGACTGGCTTTGGCATGCCCCGTCACAACATCACCAAGTGAGTGCTTTATAATTTCGGAGGAGTTCTACAAGAAAGTCCAAAAAATAAAGCTGAAAATCTCAGGTACAAAGATGAGGTCCGTGGTGAGATGCCCCATGACGAAGGAAGCACATCCAGGCAGACATCCGGCTGGAGAGAGGGTAAATGGAAAA